CTTTCCTCTCTGACACTATTATAGAGAAAGGGCAAATAGCAATATTAAAATATTTCCTCTAATTAATCCCCTTTTAATGTGCACGAATTTCGTGCACCAGGCCACTAGTAATTAATAATACTGTATTACAAGTTTGAAAGTTGCTAAGAGTAAATGTTATAAATCTTCATTATGTCCAGCTGGCGTGGCTCAGTGGTTGAGCGTCGGCCTTTGAACCCGAAGGTCTTGGTTCAATTCCCATTCAGGGCACATGCCTGGGTTATAGACTCAATCCTCAGTGTGGGGCGTGAAGGAGGCAGCCAATCAATGATTCTCTCATTGATGTTTCTATCTGTCTCTCTCCTCTGAAATCAATAAAACTATATTTAAAAGTCTTCATCACAAGAAAAAAAATATTGGTAACTATGTATGGGGATGGCTGGTAACTAGACTTATTGTGGTGATTATTTCACAGTGCAAGCAAATACTGTATCATCGTGTTGCACATCTGAAACTGATATAATGTCATATGTCAATTATACCTCAATTTTTTAAAAAAGGAAAATAAAAAAGAACTGAAAGGGAGCCAGTACACTAGAATAGTGGTAGAAAGAAGGAACTGGAGTCCTGAGGTCGTAGGTCTGTAGCTCTGGTAGAGGGAACCACATCATGCAGGAACTGGGCAGAAAGAAAAATCATGGTCCCAGTGAGTGGGATGAGTGCATGTAAGATTTCCCCAGAGGTGTGAGGGGTAGGATTTCTAAGCCAGTTCCAGGGCATGACCGAGGGAATGAAGTTGAATGAATAATGGTGAAGGGGTCAGTATCATTGCAATTTAGAGACCCAGAAATGTCCATGATAGGGGTCTAGGTTTTGTGCACGATGTTGACAAGTCAGGGTGATGGATGCAGTTGCAGTGAAGTGAACCAGTCATGACTAAAAATTTTAGAGGTAGGCTTCATTTAAATAGCAAGGTCTTAGCTGTGCAAGGGGATGATTGAGGTAGGTGGAGATGATGATCACTGAAATCCCGAAGGTCAAGGAGCTGTTATGTTGAGTGAGTGAGTCATCTACCTAATGATGGAATAACAAGATATCTACCAGAACATTGAAATGGTAATAAGGGTGGATGGTATTTTAACATATTTGACACAGCTACAATGTAATATGAAAATGTCTTCTATTGGTGAAAAGTCGATATACTAAATACTACTGTCTGTTGCCTATGTTTGTAATTAAAGGAAATGCTAAGTTTCAGTTAGAAGTTAGTGAGAATGTGTAATTTTCTTTCCTCCATCCGAGATCATAGGCCTTCTTTATTCTGTCATGATTCTGTGGTTAAGAAAACCCATTTGGGGCCCTAGCCGGCTTGGCTCAGTGGATAGAGCATTGGCCTGCGGACTGAAGGGTCCCAGGTTCGATTCCAGCCAAGGGCACATGCCTGGGTTTCGGGCTCCATCCCCAGTGTGGGGTGTACAGGAGGCAGCCAATCAATGATTCTCTCTCATCATTGATGTTTCTATCTCTCTCCTTCTCCCTTCCTCTCTGAAATCAATAAAGAAATATATATATAAAGAAAACCCATTTTGAGGGATGCTATGTCACAAAAGGCATAAACCTGAATTTAAAAGGTGGTTTTTGCATGAGGAAGAATTCATAGTTTAGAAGTGATGGTGCAGAGCTCAGAATATCTCACCACCTCAGGACCCAGTGACGATGGAGGGCGTGCAGGGCTGGAAATGGTGGGCAGGTGCCTCTGTGTGCAGGCTCGGCTCTGAGCTCAAGAAGGCTGCCGGGGAGAGCAGGTCCTTTGTGATAAAAAGCCATACTTCAAGCCAAAACAAAAAAGTTGAAGGGAGAGAAAGCTAATTCTCTAGATGAGAGAATGTTTATAAGAGTTTGGGAGGCACAGTGGAGACTCTTAAGGAAGGGAGCAGTGAACCGACAAACAGTGAGAAAAAGGACCAAGCCCCAGTAAATAGCCCCGAGGTCCTGGCGGAGGCGGATGCGTGGAGGCCTGTTGAGGCAGGCCTGGAGCCAGCAGGGTGGTGGCGACCCATAGCTTGGGCTCAGGTTTCCAGGTTGTTTGGTGCCCCTGCTTAAGATAGAAAAACCTGAAGTCACAGTGAGACACCTAGCCCCAGCTGGTTTGGCTCAGTGGATACCGGGTTTGATTCCGTTCAAGGGTTGCAGGCTTGATCCCTGGCCAGTGTAGAAGGCAACCAATCAGTATGTCTCTCTCACATCATGTTTCTCTCTCTGTCTCTACCCCTCCCTCCACTCTCTCTAAAAACTAATGGAAAAATATCCTCAGGTGAGGATTAACAAAAAAATAAAAAAGAGAGACACCTGATACAAAGTGTAAAACAGTACAGGAGGCGTGGAGAGGGTGTCTTACAATAAATTACCAAATGTTCTTCTGACTTTATTTTTATTACTGATGCCAAACACATAAAACCATATTGAAGGTTGATGAGTAAAAATACATGTTAAGAAGAATTATCTTTTAAAAGACCAGATTTGCCATCCTACCCCAAGGAAGGATTTGGGAGTGTCTGCCAAAGTAAGGGAAATAACAGTGAAATTTGGTAATAAAGTACATATGTCTTGGGGTTAATAAGACTAGAAAAACTTTCAATTTATATGATTTAATTTTTAATCACCTGAAATGGATAGAAGAACTTGGTCTTTCTGACTGGGAAACTTATTCACTTTAAAATAGCCCTGACCGGTTTGGCTCAGTGGATAGAGCGTCGGCCTGCGAACTCAAGGGCCCCAGGTTCGATTCCCGTCAAGGGCATGTACCTTAGTTGCGGGCACATCCCCAGTGGGGGGTGTGCAGGAGGCAGCTGATCGATGTTTCTAACTCTTTATCCCTCTCCCTTCCTCTCTGTAAAAAATCAATAAAATATATTTTTTAAAAATAAAATAGATGTTAATACTCTAATACATGGTTACTCTAATGTGCATTGTATTTCTTTAACCTAACAATAAATTTGTTCATCTGTAGACTGATTCTGTTTGTGTTTGTTTTTTCTAGGAATTAGCTCTCCGGAGCCAGTTACCAACACTGGAGCCGGATGGTGGGACTCAGAATCCAGTGTCTTCTCCTGGGATGTCTCAGGAATTGAGAACAATGACGACCAATAGCTCAGATCCCTTTCTGAACAGGTTGGTGAGAGTTGCTACTGGCCAATATCTGAAAAAGATCATAGCTTTGAGATTATTCTCCTTAGTACTTGTAATAAGCTGTTTGAACATCTGTGTGGGCCAAAAATCATAGTTGTAAAGGAATCTTTCCATAAATGGCAGGTACAATAAAACGAGGATTAAAAGCCAGCTCCTGGGAGAGGAAGTGAGCTGTTCAGACTTGTAGAGGGGATACTTAATTCACAGTCACGTGTTGCTCCTGCCTATACTGTTGACTAACAGTTACTTAAAATTACAGAATCGGGGAGAAACATGTGAATGCCTTTCTATGAAAGCAAATGAACTGCATCTTAAACCTGCTTAGGGCTGTAGGCTGCACTGTAAGGAAGATTGGAAGGAATTTTCCACATGAGTGTTCACCCTGAGTGCTTCACACAGCAGCACTGCAAGGCCTTGTGCTCGTAAAGGAGATAAAATGTAAATTGTGCCTTTTAAAAAAAATGCGTTAAGCCCTAACCGGTTTGGCTCAGTGGATAGAGCATAGGCCTGCGGACTGAAATTTCCCAAGTTCGATTCCGGTCAAGGACATGTACCTTGGTTGTGGGCACATCCCCAGTAGGGGATGTGAAGGAGGCAGCTGATCGATGTTTCTCTCTCATCGATGTTTCTAACTCTCTATCTCTCTCCCTTCCTCTCTGTAAAAAAATCAATAAAAATATATATTTTTTAAAATGCATTAATATTTAAGACGGCATTTGAAATGCAGTCGAAGGAGTGGGTTACCACCAGCCTATGATCAGGAAGACTGCAATGTTATGTATAGTGCTGAGTCGAAAACTGCAAGCTGCAACAGGTCGTATTCGTTGCCTAGAAAACCATTTAAAGTTAAGATTGGACTACAGTTCATTCTTCTAAGTTATATTTTAGAGTTTCAGTTTTTAAAATTAAGGAACAAATACTTTCTGGTCTTTGTGCTTTTGATTTTATTTTAACCAATTTTAAACAACACAGTTTTAAGAGACTTACAGGTCCCTTAGTTTAGGGAAGCTATTATGCTACTCATTCAGTTCTCACCAACTGAGTTGAAAACATCATGATCTTAAGAAAAACAAACTTTGCTCTTTTGACACATATAGTCTATTTTATTTTATTTTGGGGAAGGTTATTAAGTAAATTTAATTTCAGGGAAGGTGGGGTGGGATACAAAGCATGGGTAGAAAAACTATGCTAAATATGGAACAGGCCTACATGAAATATACAGGAATTTAATGTGCTAGTTATGTAACAAAACATTCACCTCATTCAGCAGTATTTTAACCTCACGTTGACACATACAGTTTAAAGTTCTGCCAAAAATTGAGTGTATTTATACAAGACTATAATTCTGAACTTTAAATGAAGTTAGTTAAGGTCATAGCCACAGAATTTTTTTCCCCCACAAGGGAAATTTCAGATCAATATAATTCCAGTACCCATCTATTGATGGCCAGTATTGATCCAGGGATAAAATTAGGCTATTTAGAAAAATGGACAGAATGTATATCTTTCTTAGTCACTGGTGAAAATTCTTTCTTAAAACCTCTGGAAGCTAGGCTGCAATTGGAGATTGTAATTTCTGGTACAGATCTCAGAGTGACAGATCGTCAGTGATATTAGTCCAAAGGCAAAATGCTGTGTCCACTCTTTATAGTGCCTCTACCCCCATTTCTAAAACATGCATCTGACTATACCATTTCTCTTTTCAAAAACGTATGGTGGTTTCCCCATTGCCTGTTACTCAGTTCATACAGATTTCTTAAGCTCTGAACACTTCCCTAACTTGCCATGGAGTTGACTCTTAGTGGTGGTGCAACATCCCCTTATCTCCCTTTTCCCCTGAGAGCCTTCAGGGCCATCTCTGGTGTCCTGTCCACGAAACCTGCCCACTGTACTTTTTCACCTCCCTCTTCTTTGTTCTAAAAGACACGATGCTCACATAGCCCTTTGTGTGATGCATTCCTGTCTTTATTTGTTCATCCCATCCCCTGAAGTGTGAGCCTCAGAAAGCACCCAGTATTGGTGTTATTGCTTTTAACCTCCTCTGCATCTGAGCCTGGTCTAATGCCTGTCATAGTAGCAGATGCTCATGTATGTTTATGGAATGGCAATGGGGTTCTGCAGGGAGCAGGCAACTCCTTGTCAGGGAAGGGGCTCTGTAACTCCGTCCTCAGATATGTCATGTGCTTTCCTGTGGCTTGGAGAGAGCTGCACAACTGTGTCAGTCGAGCTGTTCTGTAGCAGAGTCCGGAGAGTCTGGTGTGTGCCCATGCTTAGCAGCGGGAACAGTGACAACTAGGACCAGGCCTTTTCCTGGATCAGGGCGGGCAAAATAAAAGCAAACCACATCCTAAGGCAGCGGTTCTCAACCTGTGGGTCGCGACCCCTTTGGGGTCAAAGGACCCTTTCACAGGGGTCGCCTAAGACCATCGGAAAACACATATATAATTACATATTGTTTTTGTGATTAATCACTATGCTTTAATTAAGTTCAATTGGTAACAATGAAAATACATCCTGCATATCAGATATTTACATTATGATTCATAACAGTAGCAAAATTACAGTTATGAAGTAGCAACGAAAATAATTTTATGGTTGGGGGTCACCACAACATGAGGAACTGTATTACAGGGTCGCGGCATTAGAAAGATTGAGAACCACTGTCCTAAGGCCTCCTGTGCAACTGCATTGTATACAAATGGTCTCGGAGGCAAAATTGTGTTTTCTTGGATCTGTGTGAGGCTTTTGAATCTTGCCGAAATCTGGCAGAAGTGTTAGAGCAAACCAGTGGTCGCAATATACAGAATGGGGGGAAGAAAGTTGGGGAGAACCAAGCTTTCAACCTTGAGCAACTATTAAAGCTCCTTTATAAAGCTTAGTTTTTGTTTTTGTTTGTTGGTTTGTTTGTTTTTGTTAATCCTCACCCGAGGATATTTTTCCATTGATTTTTAGAAAGAGTAGAAGAGAGAGGGAAAGACAGACAGAAATATCGATGTGAGAGAAACACATCAATTGGTTGCCTCCTGCATGAGCCCTGACCAGAGCCCAGGCTGGGGAGGAGCCTGCACCTGAGGTACATGCTCTTGACCAGAATCGAACCTGGGACCCTTTGGTCCACGGGCCGATGCTCTATCCACTGAGCCAAATCAGCTAGGACTGTTTTTATTTTTTAACATTTGTGTAAACTAAATAGCTGCTTACATGTCCAAGCTGTGAGGTAAGTTAAAGTTTACATCATGGTCACAGACCCTTGAACAACAATTGCCTTTATTTCACACTTTGCTATAAAATTTTCTAGAATTGGTAGAACCCCACATTTTACAGTCAGTGCCAGCTGCTGTCCGCAGTGCCACTAGCTTCTGAGGCATTTCGGTTTTCCTCCCTAAACAGAAGCAAGAAGATCAAGCTATGGGAGTTCTTATCGAATCGGCAGTGACATATCTGTTCTGGCCTAGTCCAAAAAGGAATTCTGGTTCTTTATTTTTGCATTGATTTTTTTTTTCCCCCTTGGCTTAAATTCTCTGGCTTAAACATGTCTCACCGCCTACCTAGAGTCTGAGTTGCCACCTACACCTGTGCTACCACCACTTGGGGAATAGAGACCTTGAAACAAGTATGTGGATCCCCCGAATTCAAAATGGGATTACAGAGAGAAGACCTAGACAGAAAATTTCTATCAGCTGGGAACTGAATAGATCTTTTTTATTCCCTATAACCATCAGGCCCAGACATTTAAGAGAAATCTTGGCCCCTTAGAGCTGCAGCTTCGATTAGGGTGACCTTTTCTATTTCACTGCACAGACCAAGGGCTGTATATGGACCCTGAAGGAGGGAGCTGGTTTCAGATGTTGCAGGGCAGGAATTTTCACTAATCCTCTTTGAGAATCCAGTTAGTGCTCAGCAGGTGTTTATTTTTACTTTGAAATCATTTTTATTTTTGTATTGGTCTTTAACTCTCTTTGTAGTGGCACCTATCACTCTCGAGATGAGAGTACAGACAGTGGACTGAGCATGAGCAGCTACAGTGTCCCTCGAACCCCAGATGACTTCTTGAACAGTGTTGATGAAATGGATACAGGTTGGTATTCCTTATCCCTCTGAGGAATTAACTGTCAGGCAAGTACCATCATTTTATCACCAGGACTAATAAGCTGTGAGCAACGATTATTCAAAAGAAAGCCATTAAAATTCTATCAACTTCAATTCAAATTGTGCCTTTTTTTATGGCTGTTTGTAATTTAAGTCTTTTCTCAGTTTTTAAATGTGATGGAATCTTAGCTCTATTTGAACAAAACTGAGGACATGACTTATTTTATTTATTTTTAATCCTTATCCGAGGATATTTTTCCATTGATTTTAGAGAGAGGAAAAGACAGAGAGAAACATTGATGTGAAAGAAACACATCGATTGGTTGCCTCCTGCACAAGCCCTGACCAGGGTTCAGTCTGTGAGGAACCTGCAACTGAGGTAGGTGCCCTTGACCCGAATCGAAACCAGCACCATTCGGTCCACAGGCCGACGCTCTGTCCACTGAGCCAAACCTGCTAGGGCAAAGACATGACTTATTTTAGCATTTAAAATAGTGAATTAGTTGTCAGGGGAATTGAGGACCTTATTAGAATTCTCTATTAATAGAGATTTGTAGTTGTAATTTTGGAGAGAGATTTCTATATGTGATTCAGTGTCTGCCTCCCTCTTTTCTCTGAGGGCTTTTGGTCCAACTTAGGTGTTATGGGGCTCAGGAAACCAAGTGGGGAAAGCTTGGTGATGGGGTTCACCTACTTTCTTGTTAGAATAGTTACAGGAGTCTTGCAGGCGCTGAGAAATACCTGCCTCACAGAGTCATTGAGGAAGCCTTTCTCCTGTGGCTCACCTGATTGCCCTGGACTTGGCAACTGTCAGAGGGCAGGACTGGCAGGACCCTGCAGCCATTCTCCAGCTAGCGGGTTCTGAGCTGACAGTGTTTGGCAAGTCTTTTGTAAAAGCCTGTGCTCATCCAGCTCACAGCTGTAATGCTTCCTAGAAATCCCCTGTCCCCCTTTGCCTCGGCTTATCTAAATCTTCAGTCATCCTTAGGAGTCCCTTCAGACCCGGCTCATTCAAACACGTTTCCTTCCTCCTCTTCCCCATTTGTCTTTTCTCCAAATCACTATAGCACTTAATGGTTCATAATAATTTTTCTGAAAATTGGAGCTCTAAGGAATGTTAACTTTGTCATGTGCCCCCCAAAAGGGTTTTGTGGCCAGGCAAATTTGGGAAACCCAGAAGCAAAGCAAGGAGGATTTACTTACTCATGGACTTCTTGGGAGACTTGCTTTGCTATATTATGAAATGTGAATCTCCAAGAATGGAATAGAGTTTTCATCCAGTCCTTTTATTTTAGTGTTTCCCAAAGTGTATTTAGGGAAAGATGGGACTATACCATTCATTTTCCTATTTCGTCTTATGCTGGTGTGCATATCTGGAAGAGAATCAGGTGGTGACGTTCTTGTGTGGTGTGCTTGCTCCCTCTCCTTTGCTGTATATAATTTTTCAGGGGATTTTTACTTTTATTATAGCCCTCCCCCTCCTTTAGTGCTCAGCACATAGTGATAAGCGAGCAGTCAAATTGTTGGTTAAATATGTCGACAAATGTTGAAGCAGAAGTAATCTTGGCATTGTTATTTATGAGTTGTTTGGTCTAAAATGAGCTGTGCGTCATTTCAGGTCAGTCAGGAGTTGCTTTTCTTTATGCATTTCTGTGTGCTCTCACATGATACAGCTCCGTTCTTATCTTTTCCACAAGAACCTTATTCTGTCTCTTTCTCTGCTCCAACTAGGTGATACTATCAACCAAAGCACGCTGCCCTCCCAGCAGAATCGTTTTCCAGACTACCTTGAAGCCATTCCTGGGACAAATGTGGACCTTGGAACACTGGAGGGAGATGGAATGAACATAGAAGGAGAGGAATTGATGCCAAGTCTGCAGGAAGCTCTGAGTTCTGACATCCTTAATGACATGGAGTCCGTTTTGGCTGCCACCAAGCTAGATAAAGAAAGCTTCCTTACATGGTTATAGAGCCCTCAGGTAGACTGAATTCTAAATCTGTGAAGGATCTAAGGAGATAAGACACACATACCAGAAATTTCCAAATAAGCCAGTTTCGATCTCCTGGCTAATACAGAAAAAGATGAACAAACGTCCAGCAGGATTCTTTCATCCACTGTTTTGCTCTTCCTTGTCCATTGCTGCTGTTACTATATTGCTGACCTCTTTCATAGTTGGCCCTAAAGAATCAAAAAAACCCCACAAAACTTTTTGTTTCTTTTGCTATTATAACTACTGTTTGTTTTGGGGGCTGGGGGAAGTGAGCCTGTTTTGATGATGGATGCCATTCCTTTTGCCCAGTTAGATGTTCACCAATTATTTTAACTAAATAGACCTGGAAGTCAGATGCTTCATGTCACCACATTTAGTTTGTTTAAGCAATTATTTCTTCAGCTGCTTTTGGCCAGTGGAAAAACATGACTTACTGGTCTGATAAACCAAATATGTTGTGTCTGATATTAAGTACTTAATGATGATTTGGAGAGAGAGCTGAAACCAAGGCTGAAGACTGTTTTACTTTCAGTGGGTTTTGTTTTGTTTTGTTTTTTCCTCCTAGTGCTATATCATTAGTCACATAGTGACTTTGATTTTATTTTAGGAGCTTATAAGGCATGAGACAATTTCCATAGAAATATATTAATTATTGCCACATACTCTAGTATAGGTTTTGATGGGTTTTATTGTGGGTTTGTTTTGTTTTGGTTGATCGGGTTTTTGTTTTTTTTTCTGGAACCGAGGCAAATGACCATAGTAGTGAATCTGTTTATAGTTGTAGCTGGGATGGTTATTATAGTTTCTTTGGTAAAATCTACATTTCCTGATTTTTTACATTTTTATTTAAATCTTGATTATCTGCTCTCTC